TTAAGATGATTAATTCCTCTCATTGGCAAGTGAAGCACATTGAGAATTTGTAGGACTGGAATGAATATTTATTCAAGTCAATTAAATGAAATCTTCTGGCATTTTAAGACTAGATGGTGCAGTGTTCCAGTTTCAACTTAAAACATTTTTGGTAAAATTCATTTACAATGTAAAATTATTTCTACTTGTTTTGACAGGAAACTACTGTTGTTCTTTATTTCACCTCCAAATGGATTTTGTCCACAATCTCTTATCAATTAGGTAACCTGTTCACAAACATCTCAAATTTTGAACTTCTGGACAACTCAACTCCTTGGCTACTTTCATCAAAATAAATTTGTCATTTGTAACTCCACATACAACCATACAAAAATGAAATGTGAGTTTACTTAGCTCCCCACCAATTCACCTGCCACTCTAATCCACTACAGCCTGGCAACAGTCTTCTCATACAACTCATCCAACCATATAACAGAGATACAATGTACCTGCTAATTATTTCACTTCAGTCCCTCAAGAACTACATCAGCATTGTGGGATAAAGACCAGCAAACGGGTTCCCCATTCTGAACTCACTCCAACCCAAAACCACTTCGAGTCTGTCAAATCCTACCTAAATGTATATGAAAACACCGTTCATAAAACCAGTCTTCATTAGACTGACTTGATCCACCATTGTCCAGATTACCTGCCCTGTAAGAAGCATATTGTTCCTGAAAACAAGGAGGGAGGGTAGAAGAGGGATCAGTAAACACCTCTAATGGGGGGAATTGTTGGAGATAAAAAGACCAACCAAAATAAACTAATGGGTCTTTAGGTATGTGAAGATAGTCTTGAGGGCTTGGGTACAACCAAATCAAAATAAATGAATACCTACAACTTGGAGACTTGCAAAGATAAAGAGTAGACGCTGAAGGCAGCAGATGAGAGAAGACAGATTTGACATGAGGTGAAAGCCTTCAACCTTTTTTCAGAACTTTCATGTAAAGTACCCAAGGCCTTAGCTTGACATCAGCTTATTTGGCATCTGCTAACGAATAGCCTGTAGTTTACTTTAAAATAGTTTTTTTTCTTCTACTTCTCTTCTCTTCTTCGATGCAGACTATTGCTGACTTACTCCCCCCCACACACCTCCAAGGAAGATGCTTTAACACTCTTCTTCATTACATCTACCAAACAGATCTCAAAACTCAAATACATGTACTCAGCTCTTTGCAGTGTCGTTCTAAATTCAGTACTTCAGCTAAAAACTTACAAATTACACAAAATGACAAGAAACAACTGAAACCGCCTGAGAGTCAATTTCATTCTGCTTGAATAGAGAAGCGGCATATAAAATTTCAAATGGGAAAAGGAAAACTTCCTTTTGAGCCTTCATCCAAGAGTACTTTAAATTTCACAATAAAACAAAAGCAGTCCACTGAAAAAGGAAATAGCAAAAAGTTTCCCTGATTTTTTCACTGGCAAACCATGTCTCTCGCGACCTTCCTAAGATTAAATCCTTGCAATTTCTCAAGCCACCAAATGGTTTCAATCTCAGCAAGCTATGTTCAGGTAGATATATATATATAATAACCTCAACCCGTCTAACAATAACTGCTTGTCAGTTTGGTGATGATAGACAACTGAAAGTACTTCCAATAAAAAAGGAATAAAAATATGCTGAAATAAGACCATGGCAGCATCTCAATCAGTCACTGATAACACACACTTGATTTGGTTTACTCCAGTCCACAGCGCGACTGGGAAATTGACAACATTTATAAACAACTTATCATCTTTAAGCGCTACTTGATTCAGCCAGGCAGAACCTTATCAGGATGGTATAGCTTGTACCAATGGCTGACAATGACCCCGACACTAATCCTTTAAAATCCACACGAATGCAGAACTTTCTGCTCTTTAAACAGGAAAGTTCAAGGTGCTCTGCACTCCAATATCCTGAAGCAACTTTAATTTTTTTGTATTTTATCTTTCAAAGAGGTTGATTTGTGAAATTGTCAGTCATCACGTCAACTTAATTTAACATGCTTGACAGTGATGATATCTACACTGCTTAATCTGCAATAGTGAACTTATTTGGGAAGAACATGACAAAAAATGAAAGTACAGTAGGTTCAGTGCCTGTGACACTGACCACATCTCATGCTGAAAATGTAGACAGGCCTTCAAGAGACTGTTGGAGAGTTGATGCAAGGATAATTGAACCATTAAGCAGAAAACTGAAACTCATGCATGAGGAAAGTCTCACTGTAGACATCTCAGTTCTGTCCACAGGAGAGACAGCAAAATAACATGTAACATTGGCATCCATACCCAATACGGGAGAAAAAAACTACCCTTTTTCCTTCCTACAAGGCCTTTATACCATTATGCAAAATCATTCATGCTGTATTACCATTACAATTAGCAATAAGGTCTATACCATGTAGTTTTCTGGAGTACCCTAAATCCACACATACAAATATTCGCGCATCCAACTTTCTCACTGTGAAACTCTTCACCAAAGCTATGCACTGACGTTAATTTACTGTCGATGATCCGGATCATCACTTCAACGTTTTTCTTTTTGCAGCTATGTGCAAATTTAAAGCTTTTCTAGGAAGAATTCGGGAAAATGCCAACAGAGCATAAAGCTTTACTTTACAGACTAAATACAAAAATGAACCGGTTGAAATTGTTTTGAAAATGGATAAATGATTGCTGTTTGTTCACGATTGGGCGACGACTGGACGGATTTGGTGCCACTGTATTTTGTGACTTTTTGCAGAAATACAAGTAGAAAGAGAAGTTTTGTCAAAATGTCCATAAAGATAACTCATACTAATTTAAATTATGATTCATTTGAAAGAACACAAATTCATGCCTCACTGCAACTTCAAATTAAATTGAAAAAAATTGTAATCTAGGAGAACGAAAAAGAGAAAGTGATGGAAAGTCAAGCTATTGCGAATAAAATTGCTGTTTTCCACAAATTGCTTCACTAAACCAAAGTAAGTAAAAAAAAATTTCCTCATTCAAGAGACATTAACTGGCAGATTTTTCAGAAGTAGGGCATTACCGATACCCCATAACATGACGTTTGCAATGTACATGCGTGAATTAAGGTGACGCAGCTATCAGAAAGTGACAGAATGTCCTAAAATGAGAAATTTAGATAAGAAAATCTGTCCTATGATAGTATGAGGCCAAGGCTTAGGCCAGTAAGAAAACACTTTTTTTCAGACAGGTCTCATCGGTTTGTACACAGGGCCGTTGTCCGTATATGGAACTCAGGGATTGTAAATGGGGGGACCCTGTTCCTATAATAGAACTCAAAGGCCCAAGCTACATTTTAACTTTTAAATTCACCTTGGGAGCTGTAGATGACTGTGACGTCATGCTCAATAACTGTTAAATGTTGTCAAAAAGGGGCTGGGTTTTCAGTTTTGAGGGAAATTTTGATGGGAAACTGTGAGCATTTTAACACGACATGGGGGATTCAGATTTGCATGGTTAGTTTATCAGGAAGAAAGTCGCATTTTCTCACAATTTACAATTTGAATTTTTCAAAAAATAGGAAGTTAAAAGAGTGTTGCCTTTGTTATGGGGGGGGGAACTTACCAGTTTTGCAAGATTAAAATGCAAAAAAGGGGGGGAGTCTCCAAGTATACAATCCCCTGGAATTCTTTCCCACATTTCATTCTGAATGACAGACACCACAAAACAAGCCCTTTAGTAGAAAATTCTGGACAGAAAAAAAATTCCTTTCAAGTTTCATACCTTTACCTACTTCTTGCAGCTTTGAGAACGCTTGCGGCAACTTCAAGAGTTCGTTCGACAGGGGGCGCTCTGGCCATTTACGATTTGCAAAAGTTCTGGCGCGGCGCCGCGCCGTTGTGGACCGACCTCGCATCAGTTAAGTACGGAGGTTCAAAGAGGGCGCTCAACCAAATGAAAGGTTTTAGGTCGAATTCGGGCGGCCTGTTCTTGACACGGGTTTCTTGTTCTCCAGCTCGAGCGACGGGAACACGACTCAAGAACACTGTTCTCGGAAGAGGATCACTCACCACCACCTCGTCAGGGTTTTACAGGGACATACCAAAAAAAAAAGAGATTTTTATTTTTAAACAGCTGCAAAAAATAGAGATGGCTTCCAAATCCATACACAATGAGAAGTTTTGCAATATTAGTATTAATTATTTTACACAGAAATGAGTGTTTCTGTTTATATAGAAAAGAATTCAGCCCCTCCAAACATTAACTCTCGAATAACGTAGCCTACATGGACGCCGCCATGTTGCTTGTCACTAACTACCAGCGATAACCGGTTGTTTGTTCCCGGCGTTTGAGCGGCCGACCCACAAACAACAAATAGAGCTAGCTGTTCGTGAACTACATACGGGAACAAACCGCCCGAACTCGGCCTTCGCGTACACGCAGAACACGTGCAAGAACCCGCTTGTAACCACCTGTCTTTCGTTTCGCCGATTGGGGGTGCACTTCAGCTCGGGGCGGACGAGTACCAAAAAAAAAACCGCCCTCTTTTGTTCCGCTCGGAGCGGATAGAAGAGACATTGAGAAGCAGTTATATTTTGTTAAACTATAAAACCTCTAAAACTTTTAGAGGTGAGAGGAAAGTACAAGAAGAATATTCTGGGTAAAACTCACGGAATCAGGTAGGGACTGAAAACCCAATCCACATGTGAACAGAGCTGGCGGGTTCTAACCCGGACTGCAGAGGTGGAAGGCGAGGAAAGAACCACTACGCCAACCTGAATTGGTCCCGTCCCAGTTCAGTGGCATTTTAAAGCTTTTATATTGGTCTTCTGAATGGTGAGAAGGGATGGGAAAATTCACGCACTTTCAATAAATCCTGATTTACATTGCTCATGTACTTAGTTTTTAATACCTATTCCAGACAACCACTGAAAGAAATCAGACGGGGAAGGTTTTGAAGAAGGTTTTGAAGTGGAATCAACACCATACAACCAATGAAAAAAACATCACCACACAAATGGTGTAATTGTTCAGAGCACTAAACTCTTCATTATAAACAACTGAAAATGAAAATGCCATAAAAACACATATTGTGCAGAGTGCTATGAAGGTCATCTATTTTGAAAGATGTCCCCGAAACAATAGTTTGCTTTCTAGCGAGTCATAACTAGCAATTAAGATATAAATATAAAATGCGATGTCATTTGTGAATGGTCCATTAATTAAAGAGAGTATAACAGCTAGATTCTGCATCTTTTGGGGATCTCAGTTTTCAATTAAATGATTTTGAAAGACTTGACTGTGAGAGGAAAAAATCACAGATGGAATACAAAGTGGACAACCCAAGATCTGAATATCTGTGAAACTCAATTTCAAAGCTTGATTACAAAGACATGCATTTTAGAATCAATGGAACGACTCATATTGGTAAATTTTAGGACAGTTTTCGAATCCAAGATTAACCTAAAATGTTGATGGGACAAGAAATTTGAAAGTGTTCAGTGACCTTCCTTTTGCTTTGCAATTTCGACTTATGATTTGCCCTTACTGGTGTTGAAAAGACCATAAACAAAGTTTTGTCTTTGCCAATCATCAGATAACATACCACAAATTTGTCAGTTACCATGGTAATGTGTTTAACTTAATTTTCTACTGTCTGATCCATCTCTGCCTTGGATCACACACATGATAAATTCAGAATTATTTTTAACGTCACAGGTAAGGTTTAACATTTGGTCTGAAAAATTAAGTCATTCATAATTTTACTAGTAAGAGAAAAAAAATTAAATTACTTTGGGAATAAAAAAGATTCTTCAGAAGTCAAGCTTAAATTTGGTAGAGTATGTATCAACATGAATTTGATCCAAATTCTGCTTAAATAATGATGTTAACTTTTTGACAACAGATCACCACAATACCTGATCATGGCAAAGTAGACCTAAGGCTTCACTAATTTAAATATGATTATTTTTACAAACAATTTTAAAGGATACATCTAACAACTACAAAACTAATTCTTACACAATAACAACTAGATTTCTATGGTATTTAAATACAACTAAGCATGGTTTCTGTGATAAATATACATAGAATTTGATACGGCTCCTCATATGTTTTGCTAATTCATTCTGCTTTGAACAGTGTGCATAATTTTGCTTTTTATTAAACTTGCCAAGCTTGTGGATCATGTTGAGGTTTTTACAAGGCAATAGATCATACACAGCTTCAGTAACCAGCAGACGTTGAATACTACAATTACCAAATCTTATCAAGAATGTCCAGCGTCACACAGCACAGTTGAACTTCAACACCAATTACAGGCTTCTTCAGCTCACATGTATGTTTATCAAATGGTTTACCTCTACAAGCCAATGCAGTGAGTGCTGCTTTAATGCCAACACTAACGACCCACTTCATAAACCTACTAAAGAAAGAAACTATTTCCTTAGCAAACTCTGGTTATTAGATCAACTGTTGTGCATCCTATATATATATTTTAACTAATCCCGGCTGACTTCCGCTAAGCATACCAATTTCCTAAGCAATAATTTCTGTTTTTCATAGCAGCCTCATGAAACAGGGCCCAGAGCTTTGCACTTCACAGATGAATTAGCCATACACCCTTAAACTACAAGATCTATAGACTTATCAACTTATTTATACTATGTACAATGTTGTAGCAATGCAATATGTAAACAATAGGAATACGTAGTGCTGAGTTGTATGTCACTTAACATAAGATATGAAAACTACTGTCAACATGATATTTTTGAACAGTTTACTTTTTCTACAACATTTTGTGACCAACTTTTGACATTATGATCATTCAAAAAGTGATTTAAAATGGCTTGTAAAATGAGACATTTGACAAATATCAAAAGGAATACTGTAAGCATCATCAGCATTATTTTCAATCTGAAGTAAATTCAGACTGATGTTTCATAAGCAAAATTTTTTTTAAAAATCCAGAAAAAGTTTCTCAAAAAATCCTCAAAAATGACCTTTATTTCCCTTTTCCAAACTCACAATGTGAAATGTTTCAAACTAGAAGTGCTCAAGATATGATCTGTTTTTAAATCATAAAAATGTAACTTTACAGTCTTTCAAGGTTTTGAGGAATTAGAAAATCACAAGTAAAATAGAGTCATATTTCTGCAACTTTTCATAAACACAATTAAGGAGTCAGCCTTTTGTTACAATAAAACTATGATACATTTTACAAGTGACACACACCAAAAAATATCTATACAGGCACCAATGATGTACTTTTGCAAGTTTCTTGTACATGTACAATCAAAACTTCAAAGCAACTGTACCAAATTCAAACAGGTGAATACGCTTGCTGTTAAAAATATAAAGTTTACAACATGCGAACATTCTTGCCAAAAGAAATGACAAATGGGTCTCCATGTAAACAAGCAGCATATGAAAGTTCACATAAAATTGGAACAATTAAGAAATGCACTCAGTCACCGATCCAAAAGTATGACGAGAAAAATGGAAACAAACTGACTGAACTGTTTCTTACCATGCTTTGAAACATCAACATTGAAAAAATAAATATGTTGAACAATCCCAGCATGAAAAATAACTTTAAAGATTAGTTCATAATTCCAAGCAATGACGAAGTCTGATATGTTTCCCCTTTGTATTTTAGCATCAAGCAGCCTCATGAATTTCAACCAGTCACACCTGATAATCTTTGCATCTCTTTAAAGGCACCAGACCTTTAGAAGTCATCAGAAATAAATTGTTTGCTTTATTCTTGAAAAATAAACCTGCTTATGAATTTAGACAAGAAATGAAAATATATGTGTGCACTGAATTTCTTCTCTTTATGTGCATCTTCTTGTAAGTTTTCAAACAGCAAAACCCGAAGGCACAAGTTTTTTTTCCTGACTATTTTTCATATTTCTTTTAACACAGAGTATAGAATAGTAAGTTTTATCAGATCAGTTTATTTATCATGTCACTTATTTGATCACTTTTTTCTCTTCTTTTTTTTGCTGCACGTTTTTTGTACCTGCTTATGAATATTTCTTAATTTATTTACAACATTAATTGATATATAAGCAGTACAATTGCTTTGTTGTTGGCCAAGTACTGAAATTAAGACGTTCTTATTCAATGATCAGTAAAGTAAAACACAATGTATCAGACAAGATGTACTTAGTTCTCACTCCTTTGAAAGTAGTGCTGATTGTTCCGATTGAAAACTTTTCCAAATAGACTTTACATGGCACTCAACCTGCTAAGCGAAATGTTGCTTCAGCTAAAGCTGATTACTTATTTCAACATTAGATTCTACTTTTCTGCTTTTCAAAACTACCGCCTTGTCCATGTCTTGCTCAGCTTAAATAAGCTTGTGAGACAATTGATATGATTTTTCTACAAAACAACGTACCAATAGTCAGAAAAATAAGACACTTAATGGTGAATTGCTGGCAATTCACTGAATACATACTTCCAGTGGTCCCTTTCAGGTTTACAACCACAATACATTAACCTAGGCTTAAATAATACTGTCTTCCAATCACATCGTGTTTCTCAACATCAGGAGCTATCCACTAGTAAATAGTTATTGTTCCACAAATCGTCTTCATGATGACTGCAGGTTGGGTTTTCTTGTCCTCTAACTCCAGATTGCAAATTCAGGCTTAACTTGAGAGGCCTCATGACAAGAGGAACACTTGATGACATCGGAAACACGATACTACTGGAGTGCAGCATCGGCGTCTATGTACATGGCAGTAGGGTCACAGCATGAAAGCCATGGCAAATCAGTCATCACCATCTCATCCAGAAACTATGCCAACGTCACTTCTTGCAGCAAATACTGTCATTTACAGTCTTTTCTCTTTCTCTAACTTATTTATATTCAGCCTGGACTCTGTCCAAGTGTTAATCTCACTGAGACCAGAGTGCTCTGACACAACAACCAAACTAATGAGTTCAAGTTTCAAACTGCAAATTCACAAACCAATGTTCATCCCATGCATTCTGGTTTTTACAGCTTTCATCACTTCTGTAGTGTCCAATCACAGAGCACCAAATAGATTGCATGGCCTGTAAAGCAACTTTTATCTCAACAAAATGTCTAAAACACAACTCAAGGTCCACTTGGAAAGGTCTGGGTTTCCCATCATTTTGAAGACTTGGTATCATTCCATCATTGAGCTATTGACAAGTTGACTCACTTCCTTCCAGAGTTACCACTTTCTCAAAGAAGATCCAATATGCACTACTGTCTGGTAACAGCAAGACCGTCACGCAAGCATGCATGAAAGAGGTCTTCTAGGAAACAGCATCAGTGTATAGATCAAACAGTGGACTCACTGCTATGTCGACTATGTTGACTGGAATTACCGGAGTCAAACTCAGCATCCACAAAAGTCGTTACTGGGGCATCACCCAGCGCTTCTAGATCCAAGTAATCCTGATGATGGTAAAGACATTAAGAAAGAAACGAGTTCAAAACACAAATACTGGAAGTATAAGATCATGCTGTGATGACGCATCTCAAGTAACGAATCCACGTTAAACGCTTTATTCCTTGGTATTCTCTCACCCCTTCTTGACCTCTGAGTATTAAAAATTACATTGGCTGTTAAACTTGCTTGTGAAGAGAAAATTAAGACTCCAGCAAATAAGGTTACTTTGGGCTGATACTTTAAGTGCCATGAATGACTAGGATTAGGTTTCTTTTAAGTTCCATGAATGACTAGGATTAGGTTTCTTTTAAGTGCCATGAATGACTAGGATTAGGTTTCTTTTAAGTGCCATGAATGACTAGGTTTAGGTTTCTTACTTGAGTGGAGGAGAGGGATATAATCCTTGCGAGATCTTCCACAAGATCAAAGAAAGTTGGTCGTTGTCCAGGTGAAGTGTGCCAACACTCTCTCATGATGTGATAGCTGCAGAGTAAAAAACCGGCCACATTTCAAGGTCTGACATAATCAGAGTGTCTAGTATTAACACACTGAATATTTTCTGTTGGATCTGTGCATGAATGACAAAGTGCACTATGCAGCCAGCCTTTTAAAAGTGCCAAGCAAAGCCATTCCCACTTTAAGTGTGGGTTTATTTGCACATTGCAACCCATCTTAAGATGAAATTGGTCAATTTACTTGAGATAAAGCTCACAGAATACAACTGCTGAGCAAACAAACACAAAGCACCATATATAACTCTGTTTATGGGGCAGCGCGGACATCCGGATTCTCACAAAATGATAGATACTGCACCGGTGAAACCAGAAACCATGGAGACGTATGCATGCACCAGCCAGTCTGAGAATCTGGTTATACAATTTTTCCTTTGATCTGCACGTATGCACGCGCTCACTGCAGTTGTTTTCATCGGCGCGGTGTGGTTGCTACCCGTATTTTTGTGAAACTCCTGGATGTCCGCACTGCCCCATATCCGGTTCGTAAGTGACTTCGTCACAAAGGTGGATGCGACATGATTTGCAGGCTCTCATTGGACAATTGGTTCCACGTAAACGGTGATCAAAGCATGTAACCCTATGTGCAGTGCACGTGTGCAGTGGGTGTGGTTTAAACTGAGGTGACGTCACACTTACAAACCGGACGGCTTACAAACGGCCAAGCACAGAAAACTAAAATAGCAGATTAACTGTCAAGTTGAACCACTTAACTTCAATGCATTGTGAATCTTGTCCATCAAAGCTGAAGATTATACATCATCTGTTTTTGTCATCCCAGTTAATAAGAAAGCAAGATGAAGAATACTCACATCTCCAATGAGCAGTTCTGAGGTTGCTCCAGACGTTTACCACTCTTGAGAAAATCAAACATTTTCTCAACTGGTACACTAGGGTACGGAGTACCACCTAAGGTAATGATCTCCCACAGCAGGATTCCGAAGGACCAGACGTCGCTTTGAGTAGTGAAGACACGATCAAACAGTGCCTCAGGAGCCATCCACTTGACTGGTAAGCGGCCCTGTGTCAATGTCAATGTACAAAAACTCACTATACAATGCTAATAGTTTCTGACGAGAATGTGTTGCAGGGTTTCCAGCACTTCATGGGAACAAAATTCCCTGATGTTCCCCAATTTGAGGGCTTTTCTCAAATTCCCTGACTGGAAAAAGGAAAAGTCATTTTCTAGGTTTTCCCAGATTTCCAGGTTAGCTGGGTACCCTGCATAGGTCATAATTCAGATGTATTAATTGGTGACAACATGGCTGTCAAGGATACCAACATCAAGTATCAAGTACAAATAACCTCTGACCTAAAGAATACCCAATGTGTTGTACTCACATCAGTCGTCTTCTTGTAGAAGTCGATGTAGTGGACATCCCTGGCAAGCCCAAAGTCAGCAATCTTCATGATGTAGTCCTCAGTAACAAGTACATTACGGGCAGCCAAGTCACGATGGATGGCCTAAAAAAACAAAAAAAAGCCCACTTACTTAGAATATTGTCAAATATCAATCAATCAATTCACTGCTGATTTTATTCAACATCAGGATGTCAAAATAAACCAGAAATCCATGGCTATTTGGAACTGTGCTTCAGAAAAGATAAATTTATTTGAGAAGCAACTTTTAATTTGAATTGTGACAAATTTGTCTGATTTCTGGCTAAGCACCTACTACCAACCTTCTTGGAGGCAAGGAATTCCATGCCACGAGCCACTTGATAAGCCATCGATATAAGATCCTTGTTGGTTAGTAGTTCATGGCCAGGCAACATGACAGTCATCTCAGCATTCTCCGGTGGTCGACGTTGACGTAGGAAATCACGTAGGTTGCCATGATGAGCATACTCAACAATGACATACAGAGGACCTAGAAGGAGTAGAGATCAGTTCACTAGAGGATGCAACTCACTGAGCAACAATCCTATAACACTCACCGAGCAACATTCCTATAAAACTCAAGAAGTAACAATCCTATAAAACTAACCGAACAACATTCCTATAAAACTCAATGAGCAACATTCCTATAAAACTTAAGAAGTAACAATCCTATAAAACTAACCGAACAACATTCCTATAAAACTCAATGAGCAACATTCCTATAAACTCAATGAGCAGCATTCCTATAAAACTCAAGAGGTAACAATCCTATAAAACTAACTGAGCAACATTCCTATAAAACTCAATGAGCAGCATTCCTATAAAACTCAAGAGGTAACAATCCTATAAAACTAACTGAACAACATTCCTATAAAACTCAACGAGCAGCATTCCTATAAAACTCAATGAGCAGCATTCCTATAAAACTCAAGAGGTAACAATCCTATAAAACTAACTGAGCAACATTCCTATAAAACTCAATAGGCAGCATTCCTATAAAACTCAATGAGCAGCATTCCTATAAAACTCAATGAGCAGCATTCCTATAAAACTCAAGAGGTAACAATCCTATAAAACTAACTGAGCAACATTCCTATAAAACTCAATAGGCAGCATTCCTATAAAACTCAATGAGCAGCATTCCTATAAAACTCAAGAGGTAACAATCCTATAAAACTAACTGAGCAACATTCCTATAAAACTCAATGAGCAGCATTCCTATAAAACTCAATGAGCAGCATTCCTATAAAACTCAATGAGCAGCATTCCTATAAACCTCACCGAACAAGAATCCTTTAAACCTCACCGAGCAACACTCCTATAAAACTCACCAAGCAACAATCCTATAAAACTAACCAAGCAACACTGCTATAAACTCACTGAGCAACACTCCTATAAAGCTCACTAAGCAACACTCCTATAAAGCTCACTAAGCAACACTCCTATAAACTCACTAAGCAACACTCCTATAAACTCACTAAGCAACAATCCTATAAAATTCATTGAGAATCAATCCAACAAAACTTGAGCACCAATACTATGAAATTCACAAATGATAAATGACAGCGTTTACTCCTGATCATACTTTTGCTTGAGGAAGGCTAACTAGCAGAATTAAGAACAAAACTCATTTATTTTGGCTTCTAAGGTCTGTATGAGGGACTGGCAAACTCTTTTTTACAAACCCACAACGTGCTACCCCGAGACCTCTCTTTAAATTGTTTTTTTCCTTTAGTTTTTTGTTTGCGTTTTAAATGGATATTGAAGCAACCTCTAACTGATGAGCAGACTGCTATGAATATTACAGTTTAACATGTGCTCAACCTTTCCAGAAATTTGCACAACTGGGATTCCTGATCTTTCTGCTTTTTATAACAAATCTGGACAACAAATCCAAATACACATTCACCATCTTGAGTAGAACATCCTAGGAGATTGATAATGTTGGTGTGTTTGCCGATCATCTTCATCATCTCCAGCTCAGACACTAGATCAGACAACTCGCGTTCACTTGCATTTCCTGGAAAAAGTGGACATACAAAAGGAAACACTTTGTCACATATTTTCTGTAAAGTTTCATTTCAAACTTTAAGACAATAGAATAAAGACAAACATTTCTATGTACTCCCAAATTAGCGTTGCTGCGAGTACTAGCAAATTCTACTGAACTCTGATCTTTCTAGATCCTTAAAATTCAGCAGATTTTCAAAAGAGTTTAGGTTGAGGAAGCAGGCTTGTAATCACAAGCTTGAGAAACATCACCAAGATACCATTTCCTGTAATTCTCACACAACGGATGATTCTTGCAATTCTTGGAGTGTTCCTTGCCAAAAAGTATTTCTGAAATCAGAATTTGGTGATAGTGAAGACCAGTTTAACCAGACATACCTTTGAGCATCTTGACTGCCACCGTTGATGTCTGTTCTTTGTTACTAATGCCCACTGCCTCAGCCAGCACAACCTTGCCAAAGGCCCCTTCACCAAGCACCTTACCCAGACTTAACCTGTCAAACAAGATGATTGTTTTTGATTAAAAACCTCTCTGTCCGTTCGTCAGGCTGTCTCAGATCACAGTTTGTCTCACAGTTTGATCACAGTTGTCTCACATCATCAGTTGATTGATCATTAGTGCACCTCTAAACAAAATAACATTTCTTCCGAGGACAGTATAAAATCCACCAGAAAGGACCACAGGTGGGTCCTGGACATTTTAGGATATATAGAAATTTAATGAAACTATTTATCAGTCAACAGAGATATGATAAATTGGCTGACCTGTCTCTAGGGAACTCCCATTCAGGATCCAACACCACTTCATACTCAGATACCACAGTGAGTGAAGAGGATAAACGTGATCGGCCAATGACCAACGGACCTGATGACTGCCCTGAATCTGCTGAAAACTGTCAAACAAACACAAAGTCACTAAATACCAATTCACATTGCTTTACTTGCATGAATTTCTTTCACAATTCAGTATAACTACAAAACCATGGGCAATGAATGCTTCAATCTTGCACAGGTCAGTATCATCTTTTTAATGACTAAATTGACAATGAAAATATCCCACACTCCTTGTCACACTTCCTTTGATATTGCCATCAAAGACTTAGTTCCATTAGTAAGTTATGATCGCACACTGACAGAAAACTGTTGCACTCATGATGATTAATAATGGGTGTCTTTGTTCCATGTTGTGACCAAGATTATTCATCCACTACAGCATCAACATACCTGCCGTATGAGTGGAGCCTTGCCAGGTCCAACAATGATAGAATTCTTAGTGTGTCGTTGGTTGCTCTTGAAACACATCAGGAAAATGAAGCAAAAGAGAACCAGGATGACACAGCTACAAGCAATGGCAACTACCATGACTGTTTTCTGTTGGTTCCAATGGACAGGCCGATTTATGTTGACAACTGGAGCTGAGGTTGGTGGCGGAAGGGTGGGAACTGAAGACAAATCAACAACAAAACACAACTCAGAATAGGATCCAAGGATTAGGATTCTACTCAGCAAGTGGTATTCTGTAAACTGAACCTAGGGGTTAATAGCCTTCAAAAAAATCGGACAGCATGAAAAGGTACATTTTCATCATCCTTTTTCCTTTGTTTGTCACTGCCAGCACCGTGGATTATCAGTGGAGACAGAAGTGCTCCAGTGATGAGCTATACAGTACCCCTGCGCACTTATGGAATCTGGCCGCTTTAGTAAAGAACAAACCACTGTGAAGTGTTCATTATACTGGTATAATGGCCCTGTTTACCCTCATGGCCCACGCCCTGCTTGACTGTCAATCGCTCTGCATAGAAACACCGCCATCCAGCTAATAGCAATGCACAGGGCTAATTCCCAGAACAAACCACCGCACAATGGGGGCTCTTTACTGGGCGGAAGGCGTGGCTGCAAACATTCACATGTCATTGGAGGTTGACTGTCAGATTAGAGTTGCCACAAGACAGTCATATGTTTGGGTGTACGCGTCCAGTACATGAAGATATGAATTTATGAAGAAATAAATTAAAAGGCACCCAGCAGCATGTCCTGCATGCTGCTAACTCGGCTAACTCCACTCAGCATGAAGTGGTTAAGGGTCAAAGGAAAGTATTTTTAAGAGACTTTTTTTGCAAGGACTGAGGGAGGTAAAGCCCGACCAATATTTCTTTAACACGGCACATAAAGCCTTCGGCAAGAAACAAAAGAGAATGTGGCACTGAATTCCTGCACTGAGTATTCATGAGAATACATGATGGTTCCCAAGTACAAACTATGGGAGGAGTAAAAAGTTATAGTACTGACCTGCAACAACAGACAGCAAGGCACTCGATCGAGAAATGCCTAGGTAATTACCAGCAAGGCATGAGTACATTCCAGCATCGTCAAATGATACATTGTAGATCTTCAACATCTGGGCTTGAACCTTCAGATCTTGTCCTGAGTCCTAAGACATAAGGGGAAGGGCCAAGAAAGACAGTTAAAGACTTCATCCAATAAAAAAGAGTCTTGGCACATTATCCAGGTTTTCCTTGTATTGTTCAAAGCTTTAATGAAAAGTATTACAAATCAGCTCTGTTTTGGGTTTTTCCATGTCTACTAGAAGCTTTACTTTCGACAGGAAATTAATTTTTACAAAATTCCTTGACTTTATGAATTATCTTGATACCCACAACCCAAGTTAGTTTTCTCACACCTGTGTTGCTCTATACAAAGCACACCTAGTACATGTAGTGCATCGAAAACCAAACCCTCTAGAAAGACAAGTAATCACATGGTTCCAAAGTGACCATTGCAAAAAAAAAGGACAGCATAGCTCGTTGATACACTTTTAAAAAAAGTGGAAAATGCAAAGGGGGAAAAGATAGAGGTGATAAATACAGAAGGAAGAGGGAAAACAGAACAGTGACTTCTGAATTGATAGGACACTTTCCAATGAAAGATTTGGAATCAACACTGGGGGAAGGCAACTTAAAACACTATTGGACTGACAAAATTATTACTTCTATCACGAAAATATACCCTTCCTTTATATCATGTTCATGCACATAAAAAGACTAACTGCAAAGACGTTTCTGAAACCCAATTTTAATACTGGTTCACAGACAAGCTAAAGCAACCAAGACAGTTGAAATGCCACCCACATAGCAAAATTGAGACACCCACATACACAAAAAAAATCTTGAACAAAATCTCTAATTACATATGCTGAGACTACATAATCTGGACATTTGCCCATCCACCATTCATGCTTTTTGTCCACAGCTGTACAAGTTGGTTTTCCTTATAAATACATACTCTGTCTATCACTGTGGGTAGCTTTTCAATCTCCAAGTTTGGTTGTAAAGTCTGTTGATTCGATAGGTGTGTGTGTGTGGGAACAACAGAAAGATGTTAGTAGGTGTATATGAACAGAAGACAAGAAAATTAAGAGATGACATCCTGGACACTCGATTGAGTGAGAAAGACCAAGCTTTCTACAACTGGTGCTAGGAATTTTTGGGGTACGGCCACTAACTTTTCCAGTACTGTCCCAACATTTCCCCTTTTCCCTTTTTACAGTTTGTGGGACCTCTATTATGAACGAGCATTTTTTAAAATAATTCTGTTTTCAAACCATTCCCACATTTCGCCCCATCAAAAGTGGCAATCCCAACACAATATGCTCTTAAGAAAAATCTGGTAATTATCAGGCTATGAGCCATTACAAAATGCTTTTAAAGATTCTGTTCCCTGTAAAAATGTCCAGTGAATTATTACCAGTAATTGCAAAAGGGTGAACAAATCTTGCCACAAAAGATAAAGCACAATTAATGGAAGACAGAAATGGCAAAAGTACATGTATGGATAAAAAGGAAAGAATGTTGGACAGCACAAGCAAAAAGGAAAGAATGTTGGTTGGTAAGAGCAAACTGAATAAATAAGACAAAAAGGTACAACTTGCAAAATAAAAGAAACATTTCACTAGCATAAGGGAAAATTAGAAAAGCTAACCATATACCACAAAACAAGAAATGTGAAAACTGAACCAAACAAATGGCAGAAAAAGTACAAGAGTATGTAAATCCAATATACACGTGTAATGCCGCAGGTGAAAAGCTGTGCTAAATAAGAAAGAAAACAATCCCAATTTGTGATGAAACCTGCTCATTTGACATCAACAAAGTGTTGTCTCTTGTAAAAAGCAACACACTCAACAGTGTAAGCACACACAAGTTAAATAACTGAGACAGTTCTATTCAGCACTGCTTTGGAAAGCTGCACTCGTACAAGAGAAGGCACTTTGTCAAGATGAATAACGATGGAAGGCAAACTCAAATGGAGCAAGATATGTGCTATGTCAGAAAGAACAACGTTGGAAACATTGTTAAAACGTTGCTGTAATGCAACCGGTGTTGTGGCTGAGGCAGTGTAGCTGTGCTGCTGTGTACAAGAAAGGGCTACCAAACAAATACCGGAAAAAAGGAAAGACAGAAAGCAATTCTTAAAGAAACTTGTTTTTTAATATTTTAGTTCTCTTAGTTGAGTTAGTTGTTGTGTTTGTGACGTCATGAGTAAATGTTAGTTCAGTTAGACTTGTTCCTAAAAAATCCTACTATCATCTGTTTCTATTCGCAGTTTATTTTTGCTTTTTTAAACTGGATATTAAGTTTGAACAAGCACTAAAAGTTCTTACAGACAGACAGACTCTTAAACATGGACTGAGGCCTTCAAAGTTTCAATTATTTGCTTGAATAATTTAACTGCACAAATTGTTATTTGTTGAAATCACTGCAAATGAGACTCAAAAATCAAATGTGCTTGACGTAAATATTAATTTCAACAAAAGGAAAAAAATCTGCTCTGGTCAAGTTGTGTTAATCGTAATGCCATGAGTATCAAGAAACTTGTTAGCAGAAATCATGCCTTGTTTGTCAGTGATGAGTACATGATGGGAAAAGTTGTGGCTTAGAAAGCAGAAATGACTGCAGCAAGCTTAGACACTGAATCAACTGCAAGGGTCAGTATAACAAAGTAATACGAAAGAAAAAACACAGACCAAGAGTATCAAGCATAACAATATGCTAGTCAGTGCTCCAGTACAAGTACTCGGACTTTGAGAATTGCCTTCAGATAAAACTCAAGACTCATCAAATATGCTCAATGAGCAGCAAGGAGTTCTTATTTGAGCATTCCATTTTCCTCTATACTTATACTCAAAAGTCAAAAATACTCCACCACAGCACTGACAATGGATGAAGAGAGAAAAATGTAGACATGAGCAGAATGAAAGCAAACATGCATGGATGACATCACCCTTGGGATGGTTGCCATGAAGTTTTATGTACAATATGAACCAGTTTCAACTATTGCATTGGATTGGAACGGATTGGTGGATCTCAATTTTAATCAACTCAGGTGTTTTACTGAAAGTGTCTTTGGATCGTGAACAAGAAAGTCTCAAACCATAATGAGAATGTGGAGAGTTTACAATCCTACTTCAGCCACCAATGCACTAGGGGAAATTGATTGCAATGGTTGAAGTGCCAACCCTCAAACAGAAGCTTGCCCTCCACCAAACCACCTGACCCGCCTCCATCCAATCAGAACTCCAGGTTCCAATGGAAGAGGGGATTAAGGTGGACTCCCTGTCTATACCTCTGAAGTTATGCACTTCCAGTGGCTGTAATTTGAAAGATATGTAGTCATGACTTCAGTACATTTCAGATTCAAGTTGTTCGTCCATTTCTCCTATAACAAGGACAGGAAACATGCAATGAAAACAAACATAGTTAGTGTTAAGCATGCAAACATATTCAGATGAAGGGATTAATTGCCTTGAGAACAAGAAGCAGGCTGTTCAAATTTGGTAACAACCAACAAACTGTTTGAGACAGCTCTGATTCATATTTGATTTGGTTAAGATGCAAACCTGCTTCAAGTTCTAAACATGTTCAAATGCACTCACCAGATGTTTTCCTTTAATTTTTAGCTAGAGACTGTTTAACACGTACTTGCAAATAACACACACATGCAGATGATTGGGATGAAGTCAAACCTGTTGGATAAAAGGTTGCTTTTCAAAAACATTTTACAATTGTACTGTTATTTCAATGAATGAAATTTGTTGAACATTCCATGAAAATACAAACATATCAAATACTCACTATTAGAACACACATTGTACATAGTTTCAAGGTTGAGTAAAGTATTACTGTGCAAATACTTTGCATGAACAACGCTAAAAAACACTCAACCACCTAAGTGTACATGAAAACATTCGGCAGTACATTCATTTGTAAGAACAAAATCAAATCAGACATTGGAAGAAACTTTAAACCAAAGTGAACCAAAATATTAAATAATGAAATTAACTGATTTAAAGTGGAAATAGAGTTGAAAGAGAGCAAGTCAACTGAAATAAAACCATCACAGACTAAGCAATTCATCCAAGATGCATTCATACCTAATGTGTCATTCCATTAGCAAGTGCAAAATTATCCATAATATGTACCTAAAAAATGGTTTTCAAAAAGGAAAGTAGAAATAAAAGGTAACAGCACAATCTTTTATTTTCCGTTAATTTTTGGAATGACATGTTGTCACATCTGCCTGACACTGCCCACTTGCCAAAAGAAACGTCCTTCTACATGTAAAACCAGTAACTCTCTAGACACTCAAACACAATGGAAAGACATTGACAACCCAACGACAATATATAGGCAATAAATGACAGTTATTTATCATTTTTTCCTCAACACCCGGGCTTCTTACCAAAAAGGAGTTTCCGAAAGATTCAATGTTCAACAGAATTTCTACCACTGCAGGTCAAGCCTGTCAGAGTTTTTTGACTAACAGCAGAAATCTCAGAAAATGTATTTAGAGAATCTTAAAAGTTATAGTGGAAGTTTGATGGGAAGAAGACTGTTTATCTAGATGAACATTTGAAGTTGTGAATACAAAAATAGCAAGGCTGGTAATTTCCCACCCACACCTAAAACATCAGATAGAAACTGGAATAGGCTTACAGTCACCAACAGCAAGAAGTGCAAACTAGCAACAGATTTGAAGGCTTTACAACATACAGCACTTACTATTAAGTCTTCAGAAATATTTCCAAGCTCAACCTTGTGTGTAGGCTATTGAAACAACCAGGTAAAACACTTGTGAAAAAGTCTTCAGCATAATACCCAACATGAACAGATTGTCAAGGAAGACTTCAAAGCATTTATTTATCATGCTGCTGTTTTCAGTGCATGTGCCCATGCAAATATGACGGTGCATATTTTTCTCTACGATGTTACAATATGAGGATTCTTTATACCCACCCATCCCCCCTTCTTTGTAAATACCGAACATTAAATGCTATGATTTTATCAAAAGGGTGCCAATCTAGGAATAAAAACAGTCAATAAATATAAGTAGTACAATAATTCATTAAAGACTACAAAAAATCACAGAAAATTTACAGCATCATACTAGTGCTCTACAAAACGAACAGACAGGCCCAACATATTTTAAGATTGAAAAGATTCATAACACATACACTAGAGGGCGCCTTGATTGAAGCTCCACTGGAAAGCACGCATTGCAACATGTGAACAATGCACAATTTGCAATAACCTGGAGTCAATTTACCAGGATGTTGGATACACACAATGGCATTCCAATGCCTGTTGTATGTGCATCTTTGTTATCTCTATTGAAATCCAAAAAAGCAGCCGCCAAAACACTTCATTAGACTTCAACTTTTGAGCATGGATACAAGAATCCTATGGAATATAAATATAGCATGCAGTGTGGGAATCATCACAAACTGATTTCTCTCTTACCCCAAATGACTTATACTGTTTGAACATGACATACATGTACATGAAGTGACAATGGTGGTGCTCTCATGCAATCATCAAAGCAACCGGCTTTGTTTGTATTGGTTGGCATGGACAACCAAATCTGAATCTCCAAAATCAGAGCTGTAAATCTTTTGCGCTTCAAAAATACGTAACTTGGTTCCAAACAGGACTGACAATTGTTAAAATTGACAAAATTGAGGAAAATTTTTAATTGAAAACAGGTATGCAAATGCTTGGAAAAAAAAAAAAAGCACAACACAGAAATAAAATTGAAATATGACGTCTGCTCTTTATCATCTATGGTTCATTAAAAATCAAGTTTGGCACACCATGCAATTCATCTCATGCAAGTTAGTAATACTTTAATAGTTGGTTATCACTTCTAAACATACGACATATCATGTTCTGCTTCACCTGAAAAACAACCCCGCAAGATAATTATCATCATTCCGGAAATTAAAGTATTTATCCATAATGCCTGTTATCTTGAAGAACTGCTTACGTACAGTGTACATGTAATTCTGAAGCAGATAAACACATCTGCTTACTGGGTCTCCAAGACGGATCAAACATGCCAACTACATTCAAGTCGTCAGGTTAACAAAAGACTTATTACAACAAACCGAGACATTTTACAAAATTACCCGTGAATTGCTAATGTGAATATGACACAAGCACATGTACTTACAACTATCAAATCCAGCTTATCCTTCATGGTTTGAAGTTGGGTGAAGTTCTTTGGTGCCTCCATTTTCAACCACACGATATGTGGTGTTGCATCGCTCACTACTTTGCACTCAAATGAAACGTTACTTCCAACTACCACTTCTTGGTCTGTAAGTTCAGTTATGATGGGACGAGTGGCAATCCTCTCTGGACAGAAAAACAAAAAAGGAGCCTTTGAGTTGAAGAATAAAGCTAAGTATGAAGAAAGTAGAATGCCAGTATTATGAAACTATTCTGTCTACATGTCTTTGAGAAAGATTCGGCTAGGATAAAAACATCAGGAACTCCATATTTTGTGATTTGTATTTTAGGTCAATGTAGTCAGCAAGCAGTTTGCAGCAGTTTTGTATTACATATGTTCAGAAATTAAGAACTCAGGGGCATTTTTGACTGAAAAAAGCTAGACTGAAAGAAAAGTGACTTACACTGGCCAACTGCTGCCTGGCTAACTTGACCAGATAACTTTTCATGAGAGGATTAATCTAGTGTGGACAGTGTGAGTCAGTAAAAGCAGCTTAGCATACATCTGACTTGAGCACCAAGTCATGCTGCGCTGGGACACCATGCAAGTGCTTTGTAGACTTCCCCTTGGTATGACACGTGTTTCCAGTGTGGTGTTGCCTTTTGGTCTCAATCATAGCAGTTATTATTGATTCAACTGGAAGTTTGATTGGTACTACCACCAATGCATCATACTCAGGAGATAACAAAGGACACCAACGATGTGTCTTGCAATGAAAGAAACATCTAACAGAGCGCCCTCATGAGTCATTATACTGACAGCTTGGTTACTGGTACCTTTTGCACAGTCTTGCAAAAATTTACCCTGATTGAGAGTCCAAGTGCCAACATGACCACATTTTGACCATCTGTCATTAAATCATTGTTTCAGTAGAAAGTCAAGTGCGGATATGGCTTAATGGATAAGCACTTTGGAAAAGGAGAGGTACATGTAAAAAGAAAATGGTAGGGATGTTTTGGATTGGTGACAACAAAATGTTACCTATTAATAATTTTCAACATTCCTTGCAAGCAATTTATAGAGAAGTCTGTTCTTACCTGTGATATCTATAACAGTTGTATGATTAATGGACCCCATCTCATTGCTCACAATACACGTGTATCTGCCTTCATCAATTAACGGCATGAGTCTATCAATTATCAGTTTCGGACCGTTGATTGTCACCTGCAAAATATGCATCATGAGGATTTCACCATCATTCTCAAGAAAACTCTTACAAAGAATGGTTGAATAAAGAAACAAGAATTTAATTGATTAGAAGGTGGAGGGATTTTACTCTCTATGGTTCTAAGAACTCACCCTATCGTGGACACTGCTCTGCTGATCCCAATTCAGTTGGCCATTCTTGAGCCAGACTACAGTGGGGTGCGGATTACCTTTGTTTGGACAGTGTAGCTTGATTTTATCACCTGCCACTGTAAATATGTTTGGCTTTAAGAGTTTTTCTTTGACAAACACTGGTGGCATGGGATCGTCATATGAATTGGTTGATTCCTCCCCCTTTATTACTGAACTGGACATCGTATAGTCATCTGTTATTGATAAAAGAAACGAATGAGCATAACTTCAATTCAGTGAAGAAAAGAGATGATTCAGTTGATGGCACATTAATGTCTGACAAAATGTTACCCCACCTTCAAATTGCTATTTTTAATATTAACACTACAAGATACTACAAAAAAAAACATGCCAGATGCATTACAAAACTTTTCAAGACCAAAGAGGGCACACATGGAGTCCAGATCTACTTATTTCCTATGATGTTCTATGGGTATTGTGCACTGGAGAAGATTCCTAAAGATTCTAACAAAAGTCTGAGATTAAGGGATTGACTCTAACTACAAGTACATACAAACGCCCTCCAGAGTTCATGAACAGGCAAGAACTGCCTGGTTTTTGTATTCAAAAAGTTTCTTTTCATCAGTGTGTGAGTCGAGAGATCTTTGACACAAATTCCTTTAGAATGGACTTCCTATCACTCACCAGTATAATCGGCAATGACCTCCAAAGTAAAGTTGACTTCTAACGTTCCATAATCATTGCGGGCAACGCATCTGTAGTTACCACTGTCTTCTTCAATGAGATCAGTGATGATCATTTTTACCTGCTTCACCTCTATGTCAGCACCTGTCTTCAGTTGGACATTGCCTTTCCACCAAGTGATGTTGGGCCGTGGGTAGCCATCAACAGAGCACTTAAATTTGACGTTTTCTGTGTCCCTTCTAGTCAGCTTAGTGACGATATCCTTTTTAATTGATGGTCCCCCTGTGAGAGACAAGAACACAGATTCAGAATGTCATTGGTTGGCAAATATTGATACCAAAAGTAAACCAAACGTTTGTTAATCTAATTGGTGGATATTGGTTATTGAACAAATTTCATTTGATCAATCTTTTTAGTCTTCCAAATGAGTCTCATGAATATTCAAATGTGTTAAGAGAATACCAATGCCTAACAACAAACATGCTTATGGATCATGTGACTGCGTGTTGGGAACAATGGAAACAAAGTGTTCTAAAGTGCTTCGTTATGATTTCCAAGTGCTCACATAAAAAAAAAAACCAAGACAAGAGGCATATTTGGCCTTGACATTGTTATATGGTATTTCTCCCATAATCCTAATGCTGGGCATGGATAAACATATACAGTAAACCCTCATTATCAAGACTTCAAGATAAAGAAAATCTCACAGCCATGGAGCCAATACACCTGCCGCTATACAAATACACAGACATACATGTAGTCATTCCAAACTTACTCCACAGTTGCATCATTTGGGTGGCTATTTTCTGCTTTTTATTTATTCTCATGACACATTTTAGCTCATTAACCCTAACACTCCTCAGTCCTCCAACAGGTGAAGGATTGAGGAGGGTTAGGGTTAATACATGTGATCATTTTGCTAAGATTTTTCATTGTTGTTATGTCTAGAAGTTAGCAACAGTTATCTCCATAATGCTGAATTCCAACCTTTTTTTTTTACACAAGAGACCCATTTCCTGTACCAAGGGACAGACCAAATGACAACCTCTCAATTGTGACTGCTCAATGTCTATTTCCCATTTTTCCTAAAAATCTGCTTCTGCACAAACATCTTAATTCTTCACTGTATCTTAATTTCACAGCTTGGTGTCCAAATGGTTTGGCCATACAACCAAGCCAAGTCCCATGGTACTGGTTTCTCACTCCTGTAATCCCAGGGAACAGCCCTAGAGGGAGTTCAGAGACACGACCTGGCTTGGTATGGTTAAACACTTACACTGGTGGAAAGACAGATTAAGAAACAGAGCGTGAAACAGGTGCAAAGCTGGCGAGCAGGTCAATGAAAACTTCATATTTGAACGTTGTAACACCTGGGCTTTAGGTGACAGTGAACGTAGAATGGGGTGGGGGAAGGTTTAAAAGCAATATGGGTATATTGATACATCTGGGGAAGGGGGTAGGTGTATTTGGATATGGGGACATGGTCATGGGTACACGTGGGGTGTCTGTATGTAGGTGTACATGTACAATGTAGGTAGGCTACTTGGTAACAGGTGTAGGAAGTGGGAGATGGGGATGTGTATGGGTGTCCATGAGAAATACTGTAGCTGGGCAGTATTAACATACAATACATGTACATGTAAGGGCTTAGACAATGGGTGTGTGAGGGAATTTTACACCAAAGGGACGTTTGGATATTTCTAGCAATGAAATGACAGAGGTTGGCAAAACAAGTTACAAATGACTAACTTGGCAAGATTCCAGATGCCGTGACTTCATTTGTGCTAAGTTCAGGGCTCCCAGTGATGCAGACCGTAAATGTGTAGTTGGTGCTTATCTGCAGATCAGTCACACTGTATATCGTCCTGTTTGACACATGTCTGGTCCAAACTTGGGATTTATCTAGAAAAACAGTCCAGATTAGTTGTTTTTATATCAGCTGCTTCTTCTGGGATGAAATGATTACCTGTAGCTTCCATGACAAGACCCTTTTCAAGGTTCAACGGTTGATGACAGAAGAATACTATCAGTAATTTCAAAAGACATTTACTGGAAATTTCACCCGACTGTCCAATGATTCAAATATAGGGTGATTCACCATTTACACTAAGGGCTTTTAAAATAACAAACTGCGACCCCAGAAGAAAACACCCCCAAAATGTTCTTACTTTGTGTTCTCCAGTACTTCACATCATAGTTATATACCCCTTCATCAAGTGGAACATCCCAATTCAGGGTCACCGTTGTTAACTTAATTGGGGTCACACTGAGGTTTCTGGGACTGGTCCTAGAGGGATCTGCATCTGTAGAAGAAACCAGTCCACAATAAAATAGAAGGTAAAGAGAGATAGCGTTGTTGACTTGTCAGTATTATTTCAACATGTGAATATATTATACAGATGTTCCGCATTGATGTACCGGTGCTGTAGTCTCATGTTGACAATATTATACAGTACTGATCACCCCAAAACTATGCTACAGTCAAAATCAAAGTTAATGCATATCCAGTGTACCACTCCAAATCAACTTCAATTCTTTCCAGATGTCAAATGCATAATTGCAACATGCAGTTCACTATCTTTAATTGACACAGATGTAACAGTTAACTAAGCCTTCATTTTAACAACCGGTACTGAAATGATTTTCTGATGTACTTCTCCATATTTTAAAATACACAAAACATTATTTAAAAAATGCTTTTGAGAAATTTTATAACCATGTATGAGTACAAAGAATAAACACCAACTGGCACATGTACACAGAGTTAAACAACCATTTGAGTTTTCTTGATATGAAACTTTCATTTTCAAGGGGCATCAAATATCATGAAAAGTGATGCATTTAGCAGCTGGGCTCTGATTCAATCTTGTCAAATCCTTTCTGACCTTCAGTAAAATTGAAAAAAGTGACTGCTACTTCAACAGTCATACACACAACCAACTGCAGCAATTTTGTACAAAATTGGCCAAGTCTATATCTTTAAGTTATTTGAATGCACATTTGTACCTTCCAAGCCTGCACCGTAACAAAGGTGCTCTCTGTATAAAGTAGGATGGCTTGAGGCCTATCCTGTTACAACCTCATCAACACTATTCAAGCTTGATAGATTTTCCAATCACCAACAATGAGTGAACTCTACGGACCAAAAACAGGACCTCATACATCAATTCATAAAAGATCCTGTCAGGTGGACCGGCGACCATATTACAATTTCATTTCACCACAAGGAATTGTCCTTGCGGTGACTCTAGCAGTACAAAACCCTTAAAAAGTACAAAGCGTTTCTCCCACATCACCTGGTGATTTGACTCCATTGAAGGAACATGATGATTCCAAATTGCTCTTGCACGATTTTACATTTGTTGTTCAATTCCGTCATAAACAAAGAGCATCAACATTTGAATGCTGCTTATGCATGCAAATTTCTTCTGCATATTATATTAGTCTCTTCCCCTCAAATTACATGTGCCCTGGTAGTTCAGACAAAAACCTTACCAATACCAGCCAACATGCAGGGGTAATGCACTATGGTCATATTTCATTATACCTATTTATTATTCAATAAAACTTGCCAATTTAATCAGGTCCCACACTAAATACACCTCTGGGTGATCGGGACAATAGACAATTGGCTATGGTTTTTGTGTCTGGCTGTTATGCTTAGTTGCTTATGCTTTTAAGCTAACCAATAAAAATCCTTGACCTCGTCACATGACCAAGAACTCCCTTCTCCTGCATCTCCTTTTCCCTTCTATACATGTGTACCTGTACTCTTTATCGTCACCCTGGTTTCTCTCTGGATGCTTTGTGCAATGGTGGAAAGAGCCACCCAACCATAAAAAAAATTGTTGATCAACTGTTTTTTTCTCAATTTCATTCTCTTTTTTTCTCAAATGGAATCAATGTAATGCTGTAAGACATCCCATCACCAGCATTTAATTAATTTTTAATTCCTTTATTATCTTTAATTTCAAGAGTTCTTCATGTTTTTGTTTCTACACCTTTTTCCATTAATTATCTCCAAAAATTTTGTAAAGCAATAAATTTTGAATTTGCCAGACCCGAAAAACACTATTTTTTTTAGCCCAGGGTGTAGTCGATGAGGTGCCACACTGTACAATGAGTCCATGGAGTACAAAACCATTCACTCTTCTACCAACCAGCTCCCCTCCTTCTTTTTACAAGCAGAATGCCCGGAACCTTGCAGTGACTCACCATGTTGAATTTGAACTGTTGCACTAAATAGTTTTCAGGTGATATATGCATTGACATTTTGGTTAAAAGTGCAACTTGTTCACATAAAACACAAACAAAACCACAAATTCTGTCCACAGATGAACAAATTTGATAGAAACTCTTCAACCCGATGAGGAACTTTCAACCCTGACTAAATTAATAGAACAGACTACCAGCCTTCTAAGACTCATAACATTCAGACAAGAAGAATGCCAGCTATAATTCAATTTGAAACAAATGTTTGAAAAATAAATAAAAATCACTTGTACACTTCTGCTTTGAAACTAGTAATTCAGACAAGTCAAAATCATTGCAAATTTGAGATTTTTCATGGTGTTTTGGCATTGATAAACACAGAATTTTCAGTTTACATATTTGGTTTCATATTATACTGCAAAGGTTGTGGCTCAGAAATACAAGTTTTTAATAATTTTGAAAACTTGTGCAGAATAAAACAAGTCTGTTGTGAAAAAGTTCAGACTTGTAATCCTAAACAATACCATTTACCTGACTTATTCATGCTCTACTTGATCAAGTAAGTATTTCACAAATTCCTTTACACCGGAATGATCCTACTGGGTAATCTGAAAAAATGTTTATTCAGTCCACTTCTCTTGCATAAAAATAATCATAGTTCAGGTCCTATGGGATTGAGGAATATTCCCCTCAATGAACTCTTCCAACTGACTCGTGGACAGCATGTACTAAACCAGAATGAAAAACAGCCTTACACAAATCAAATTGCCCTGTGAAATCTCTCCATCAACTTGAGACATGCTATCTACACACTCTGATGAGTGACAGACAGAATGATGATGAGAACAGTGTAAGAGAAACACAGAAGGTGAAGGTTATCTCAACTACTGGTAGGGAAGATTCAATACACAGTCTCCTGTCTTCAACATCACTTAACAGCTGCCTGCTCTTAGCAAGTTAGCAGCACTGCCTGGTGTTTCAATTTTAAGCCCTTTTGCCTTGGACTCTTAAGGAGTAACCTAGCACGCCATAGGGAAACTTGGGCTGAAGATGGACAGTGAAATTTCCACACAACCTTCAACCATACCCCCAAATATTTCAGTATGCCATGCACTCTAACAACTCTTGCAAAACTGCTGTGACACTGAAGCCTGTATTCCTACACGGGCCAACATTTACTTGATACAGGGAACTTACATGTAAGCCTACTCAAAGTTATTCTATGACCCTGGATTACAAAAATTGATACTACAAACATTGATTCCCACTTCTGAAATATGAAAGCAAGAAAGAAACTTGAAACCATAAGAGATGGTAGTGGAAATAGTAAAGACAACTGAATCAGCATAAAAGAACACACACCAAACACAGTTTCCTTTTACTGTCACATACTGGTATGTAGCTCAAGTACAAGTTTACATGTAATGTCTTTAACAAATGTCAGAATCGCATCCTCAAACCAAGTTTCAAGTGCATAGTGAATGACACATCCAACAATGCATACGGTACTTGTACCACAGATGTCTCTCACCATTTTCAACAAAGCTTACAACTGACATGCGCAGATTACTTATCTACGGCTTTAGCTTAATAATGAGCACTGCATCCCTATAATCTCAATCGCTTGGAATTCCATGAAATCCTGGCAGGAAAAATAAGCGCTTAAAATTAAAGGTAATGACTGCGACTTGCTTATTTTAACTCAAGGCCTGGGAGCATCAATGCACACCAGCTGATGTCACAGCTGCATTTAATGCACGATAAAGGTGAACTTTCTCATGTCATGGAACCAGAAAAGATTTCAGTGACTTACCCCAGTAACTTCAATTAACCCGACAAATCCAACACCTTATTATTCTGGATTTCAGTGGATTTACACAGATAAAATGTACTGTACAGCCCCAGCTACATTCATCATGCATGGAACTTAATATTCAATACTAAGTATCTAATAAAAAAAGTGCCACTGGTTAATTACAGTGTCAAATTTGGAGTAATAATAAACTGAAAATCCGTAGTGCTGAGCATGTCAAGGTGATTCTGATGTAAACCTACCTGCTTCTACCGGTATTATCAGTTGTACACTTAACACATACAGGAAAAGACCTATGACCAGTCTCTGTAGTCTGTACCACCCTATGGCACCCATCTTTGCTTTCACTGCATTGAGAATGCAGGAACTCAATGGCCAGTTAACAACTGCCTTTAATATCAGGTAGAGGTGATGGTGTTACAACTGCCCAGATCACTTTCCTGCAGTAAATGAAAAAACAAACAGACTCATCAAACTAAGATCTTTACTTCATGTGCTTGATGGCACTTGTGCCCCTAACAAGTTGGACAATCTGGTATCAAGAACTGCTACGTACAGTGTCTATGTGTATACATGTACTGGTATGTGTCGCAAGTGTCTTTCTCTTGATGCAAAATTTCAGTTTGTACAGAAAGACTTCAAAATAGTATGGTTATCAACACATTGTACATAGTTGGTTACGTTTTTTCCCCTGTTAATTAAAGAGAAACACAATCATGACCTCCAAACATCACCATGGCACTTTTTGGAAGACAAGATCATAGACTTTGAAAAAGTGCACTTTAGTAGAAAACAGGTACCGATATTGCAACATACATTTCAGTTTGAAATTCACAAAACACACACCAGTACGTATAAAACTTCCAAATTGGCCTGATTTTTAGGCCACTAGCTTCTTTGCAGACTGTAAAACTTCCAAATTGGCCTGATTTTTAGGCCACTAGCTTCTTTGCAGACTGTAAAACTTCCAAATTGGCCTGATTTTTAGGCCACTAGCTTCTTGCAGACTATAAAACAATTAGGGAAAAAAATCAGGCTGAAATGGGGGGTTGGAAACTTTTGTTCATGGCTTTCAATTTTTGCAGCTACTCTGCAAAAAATTTTTCAAAAATAGACCACAGGCAAAGATTACGGACTCGGATGTAGTACATGTATAATACTGAAGTAAGAATGGACATTCAGGAGAACTTCTAAGAAAAAAAAATACAGAAAAACATTGATTCAACTCGGATAACAATTCAGACACAATCCAGCACACCACATTGAGTGACATTATCAAACCAGCTTCCAATCCCATCATTCCCTGATCTTTGTCTCTGTGAATCCTCTCTGTCACTTCTTATCTTAATCGAGCTCTCTCCTGGATACTAATACAGCAGTTGAACAAGAGGTGACAGGGACCATGCAGGGAAGCACCAGTAACTACCCTCTATGGCCTGTCTATTAGCACAGGCAAACATACTTAAGTGTAGCTTTCCAAAGATCTGACCATACTAATGCCATATAAGGTAGGTACCGGGTATGGTAGTGTGCTTGTCACATAGTCAAGCTGGTGTTAATTACCAATAACAAGTCAATTTTCACAAAATTCTCTATACACACTTCACAAGCAAAGTAGTGGTTCAACTTGTCAAAAACATTTTCATAGCACCACATGGGTGCTTCTTGACGTGAAAGATAATTTTTCCTCCATAAAAGTACTCACTTAGCAAGAATGCGATTAGACAGATAAATATTGCTAATGATTAAAGAGAAGTCAAGAAGTTACCAGTAATTATCATTCATAAATACCTCACACAATATCCCTATTCAACAACGTTTAACTTGACCGTGTATTAACATTTGATAATGCCTGCTGAGAAGTGATAACGCCCGCTGCGTAATCATGCACTGGCATCTGGATACGAGATGGTTTAATCAATTCTGATTGGTCAAGAAGTCTGTGTGCATGCAGTCCATGTAAGGAGATTCTTTTGGACAACTTGCATAAGGACTAAACCATGGACAGGGGTGTTTGGGAAAATGAAAGTAAAATTTTAGAACAAAATCATTGGCAATCTGTCATAATATTGACTTCTTTTGACTCTCTGACTAAAAAAGGTATTTTAAATGGGAATAAATATGAGTATGTGCTTGGCCAGTCTTAAACTAACGTTTTAACGTTACTGGTTCAAGAGACTGAACACTGATAACGCCCTCGCCTGCAGCTTAAGCCTGAGCCTATCTTAAATGCTTGTTGTAAACTGGCCAAACACAAATTTAATCCCTTGATGAAAATCCTACCTTTTGTACAGTATGTCACTGTTAATGCAAGCAGTTTCAAACCATCAATCAGTTGTAACTGACCACGACCTGCCCTGTGAGGCACTTAAATGAACTTCCCTCCATTACATTGAACACGCTGGCACAGACTGATGAGATCAATTGTTTAACATGCATGAGCTCACCCAGGGAGCATCATTAATTGAGCAGACACTTTAATGTGTAAAGCACTGGAGACAGAAATACTGTCGACAAGTGCAACAATGCAGCTCAAAACTGTACTTTGCAGGACATTAACAATTTACACCAACTGGGAATACTTCATCCAGCAATGTCGACAAGGTTTCACAGAAAACTAATCAAAAAGGCAAATGTTTTGTAATACCCTTGGAAATGTCATTGAATTATGATGTTGCAATTCAGTGAAACAAGTTGTAAATTCACAGCAGATGGCCAGTGGCTCTGGTCAATGATGTATGATCTGCCTTCCTAGAATGCACATCCAAGCAAATTTTAGCATCTGCCACAATTTGATTCAAAGCTCACTAGATAAACACACACACTTTATACATGTACATGTACTTCAGACATTTTCATAACGTTTCACCCATTTAAGTATGAAAATACATGTACATCTCCAGAATTCCTATTTACAAACCATGCATTACTTGACCTAAGACAAACAATTTTTTTCTTACCACTTTTGCACACAAATCTGAAATGCCACTTCTTGAGTACAATGTACATGTGGAACTCCAAATTTTGCGTTTGAATTGAGAATGGACCTGTGCTGGACAGGACAGCACATCAGTCTGCTTGAGAAAGAACACACTGCTGATATTCAACAGTAACAGTTTGAAATTCAACCACTGCATTTACATATCCCCATTTCAATGTGTCCAGTGTTGCTTGACTTGTACAACCATCAAATGCCGGAGTTCAAATAGTCCTGCTTTTGAGATTGGTCTGCATGAAGCAACACAATTACTGACAAAGTACCCTGTAAAAAAGGAAAAAATAACCAAGGTCGGCATTGAAATCTGATCTGAATCAATCCTAGTTGCTTTAACAATTTTTAAATGTTTTAGGCTTTTGCATACCGCATGGATGAACTTTTCAAATGCACTACATGTAAATGAGAGCAACACATCAGTTCACTGTTACTTATGCTTGTTTACATTTTATCGCATTAGTATCACGCAACATGAAACAAACGTATACACGTACATGTACCTACATGTACAAAATTATGACTTTTAAAAATCAAAAAAAGGTTCCTTCCACTGGAAAATTGCCGAATACTAACAGACACAACTGTTCTGCTTTGAACAGCAAGAACAGTACATGAATATTGTATTCCTCTGAAGGGATTTTAGAGTTCAATTTCACAGAAAAATCAGTAAATATTATACAATATACATACATGTATTGGTACATGTAAACAATCTTCGCATTGGGACAATAGACTTATGAGGGTGAAGTTTAGGTCATAAATTGTAGCTCAAAAAGGTACACACCATCCTTTGCAATCATCAAATTAAGTACAGCTCACTGGCCAGTTGACTAGAATGAACTGCATTCATAAATTCAATGACATGTTGCTGATTTTAAATCACACAACATCCATGCCAACTTGGACTAAATTTTGTGCCAAAGGTCTGCGATGGTATGTATCCTTCTCAAGTCAAACACATCAAAGCAGTTTCAATGTAGTGACACCAAATTTGGTTTCAATTACGTGTCACAATGTGTTTACATATATCATTTATCAGCAGTCTTACTTCTTCACCCCCACCCCTTCGGCTTTTTTCCGGCCGCCAACAAAGCGAAACTGGTACAGAAAACAATCCCTGCAATAACCTTTGCCCCCATAAATCACATGGTATAAAGACAGCATTAACACTGGTGTTCTCTCAAGTTCAGACTTTCTGGAGTTTCAGAGACAAAAGCCTTGGATACCAGGCAAGTTTCTAGACAGAACATTGCAATATTTTGACGACAGCTAAGTGCAATGGAAAAAAGTCACTCTAAAAGACAGGTGATAACTGATATTTAACAAAATAGGGAGGATTGTGAAGAAAAATAAAGGCATCTTTTAATTAAGTGACTTAAGTTTACTTAAATGTATAAGTCTTTGAAGCAAGAGTTGTCGTTAAAAACAACAACCAAAAAAAATAAATCGTACTCTAACTACCGGTAGCTGTGCTTTGCAACATGTTTATTTCAAAACAGGGAGAAGTGATTTAAAGCAGTTTTATACCTCAAGATCTCTGTGGAAGGAAATGACAGTCTCCATACACATTGCCTCAAATGTAGGTATGGCATTCCTCACTCCTGCTCTGTGAAGTTTATATTTCAGCACAGAGCATGATATAAGGGAGGGGACTGTGACTCCTTTGGGTCATGGGGCAGGCACCAACATTAAAAAAGAAACAGCCTTGGTCACTCAGGGATGGGACCAGAACAGCAAAGAATCTCAGTTGACTGAGGACACAGGGGATTTGTAAACGCCCCCCATCTGGTAGGAGCTCTTAAAGGATCCTGTCTTAAACGTAATATAAATGGGATGCTATTTTCTCCGACTTTGCCTGAAAGAGAAGCTTAAGCATCTTAGAATCACTGCACATGAAATAATGCCGGGGATTTGGAGAGACTAGAGAAAGAAACCACAGAGCAAAAATCTTCCTTCATCCTTCAGGTAACTGTCTAATCCCTTGATGTAATTCCTGCACTTTATTGGCTTGCTTTTCTAGGATGTGAATAGAAACTTCTTGTACACTCAAGGACTACGTTGGATCTTAATCCAAAGTAGAGACAGGGAGAAAACCCTCCTCACAATCCCAAATTGATGAAGCTAACAAAACAGCAGCAAGGTGCACAATACAAATAACATTTCACATGACCAATTACACAGATTTACCCAATGTTTTTAGCACTATGGGTTGGCATAAATCTTATGTACAGATCTGTAAAAGTTGCTCTACTAAATTTGAGTTCCAATATACTATTTTGAAACACAGTGGTTCCCTTTTCCCCTACATTTGTGGTCAACATACCGGTAAATTGCTTCATGCATGTCTTATACTACCAGCACATACACCATATTTTAGCTGGACTATAACCTTAAACATGTGTGTCAGTCACAGCACAGATGTCCTGAAACGATGGTTGAAATATG